GATGCTTCCATGGAAGAGTCAAATATCCCCAAGCTGGAGATGAGAAAGGGACAGATGCTGCAGGGCCACAGCTCCTCTAGGCACAGCCTGGGCTTCTTTGCCACTCCCTGTCACCCTCAGCCCTGCACCTGGGGCCCCAGTGTCACCCCAGTGCTCCCCCCAGGGATGTACTCTAGGGAGCTCCCTTGCTGTCTAAGGGAGTCAATTACTTTTCTTTTCCCTCAACTATACACTCGAAAAGGTTCTCTCATTCTGAACCCTGTCTTGTCTGTCTCTAGGTCGAGTCTTTTTCTTGGAAACACTCTGGACATCCTCACCCTGCCAGCAAGTCATCTGCCTTCCTCTGGTTTTCATTTAGCCAGTGACCACTGTGTTTCTCGAATTCGTTAAAACAAAACCTGTGTAGTGTGCTATGAACTAGACCCGGGATCCCTGGAGCTCCACCCATTCCAGGAGGAAATCACTCCCACAAGACATGAGTGATGTTTGCTCAGCACCAAGAGAAGGGGATGCCTGGTGGTTAGCGCTTAGCAGGATGAAGGAAAGAGTCAACTAGATGCAACGTTTAAAGCACTTATCACAATAGGACAAGATACAAGTAACACACAGGAAAGAAATATGAGCTCCTTTTTAGGACCGTGCTGCCAGCCAACCCACGGACCAATCAGTCAGTGGCAGCCAGGGGTCACCCACACCAGCTCAGTGCTGGGTGGATCCCACAACCAACACACTTCCCAGGGGTGGCTTCTCTTCGGACAGACCCTTCCTCTCTCCTGGGCTTTCTGGCTGCTGGGTCACCCAGACCCGGGCCTCCCTGCAGTGGGAATGAACTTCCTTCAGACCCAGGTGCTCATCTGACTGTCAGATTTCCCCATCCAGGCCAACCAGGTTCAGGGTGAAATGTAAGGGGCTGGAGGGAAAGAGTGTCGGGGAGAGTTCATGTGATGCGTCTGTGACACCAGAGGAGTGTGGTCATGTTGGCGTTGGGGGCTCGGCTGGGGCAAGCCCAGCATCACCTGCACTTAAGTCCTCATAGCACGCTGGCCGGGACAGACACTTGCTCCCACCTGGGGTGGCTGTCATCCCTGCAGTTCATGGCGATGGGCTGTAAACAGTCTCACGCCACTGACCACAGTGGGGCTGGCTGGGAACTGTGGATGGATCAATGAAAATCCTTCAATAAATGGAACCTCAAGTTTTTCACACCTTATCTCTTTCTTGATCAAGAACCTATAGTGACGCCCCCACCCCACTCCCATGGACAGTAATATATTGTCTATTGTTCTGGCAAGTTCTGTAGAACCACGTGGAGGATGTAGAATAATGTGTACTGTTATTATACCTTCCATATAGCCAGGGCTTGCATTTTCTAGACTCTCCTTGGGCCGGGCAGCAGCACCCCCTTCTAGAAATGCTGCCCACAGGCTCGGCTCTTGCCACCCAGCAGACAACGGCCTGCACCCCCCCTGCCTGTCCAAGCAGCAGCGTTCTTCAGGACCTGCTCAAGCCCCAGGATCCCACCGTGGTCTAGGTGTGTCCGCACTTGGCAGGTGCCTCGGTTCATGTTTTCTGTCCCATGCTTCCACAACACCTGCACGTCCATACCACAAGCTCTAAGAGCACAGAAGACGCTGGAGCAATGTGTGACAGCTGGAAATAACGCCCCTGGCTATGGGTGGTCTTATGGAAAGCATGTCAGTCTCCTGCATTCTAGTTTCTTCTCACCACACCTGCTATGGCCAATTCCACACACTCTCCCCCCAGCGATGCCTGTTTCTACTGTGACCCGCACCACAGAGAAATCAGCAACTCAAGGTTTTCTCCCCACTGATGTAATTCTAGTTCATTTCTACTAAGGAAATGACCAAAGCATTAAAATCTTCCAAATTCGAAAGCCATCCCAGATAAAAGACAACGCCTGTCTCCTCTGCAGTTCCAAACACCTGTCGCCATTGTGAACTCCAGCCATCTAGCAAGGAATTGCCTTGGAGGAGCTTAATGGCTTCTCCTAACAAAGCTGCTTTTGATTTATGCTGATCATGTCTGACAGCCAGCATTTCTCTTAATAATCATCACAAATAAGTGAGACAAGGTCACCTAACCTGAAACGAGCGAATCTCCACTGCCCCATCCACCCTGGAGCTGGTCACAAAGGTGTACTTGGTGTTCTGTAGGAAATCCCACCCCCAGCACCCACCTGGGTGTTTTTTATTTACCCTGTTTTCCTCCCACAGCCTTCCCCAACAAGAAACCCTCAGCCCCAGTGGTTATAAAAGGACTCAGCCCAGGGTGAGGACATGCTGCCTGCTCTCCAGAGACTTCTTGTACATCTTTTTTTTTGTCTTTTTTTCCGTGTCCGGCAACGGATCGCAACCCTCAGTGTCGCGCCCGTACCGGACCGGGACCGGCAACGGGATCACAACCCTCGGTGTTGCTCCCGCGCCTCGCTCAGCCAGTGAGCGGGAACCGGTCTGTATGTGGGATCCGAACCCTTGGCGGGAGCGCCACCGCGCTTCCCAAGCGGCGCACTGTAGCAGTGCGCCACCGGGCTGGCCCTACATTTTTTTTTTTACTACAATGTTTCTTCCTCTTTACTCCAGTGGAACAGCCAAACCAAAAAAAAAAAAAAAAAAAATTCTTGAAAAAAGAATAAAAGATATTAAAACAACTAAATAGGTTGGAAAACCCAAGCCACTAAGTCAGAATACGCAAATGCACTCTGTCACACTAAAACACGTGACCACGCAGCAAATGTCCCACTTTGAAGACCAAGGCTGGGTAGATGTAATAACAAGGTTTTGTCACCCAGGTACTGGGTAAGGCCAGCAGATTTTGTTTTTCCTGCAATGACTCTGGCTTAGACGAACTTTCTTGTTATTTTTGGTAACTAATATCAATACATTTCAATGCCCTTGGCCCTGGCAATGGGACACAGCTGCTGTTGTGTTGCACTGAATGGCTTTTCAGTTTTGATTTGTCTTATGCTCCAAGGGGTGTTGCTGAGACTGAGAGGTGAGGTGGGGCCCAGTCAAGTGTATCAGGGACTGAAACACAGACCCCTGGGAAGCAGAGACATCGAGGTACTGACAGCCAGGGGGATCTCGGAACATGCTTAGAGAGTGACACCTGCGTAGCGCAGCTCCACGATCTACGACAGGGTGGGTGGATGCAGGTGCCTGCATCACATCTGGGGACATAACGCTGCTTGGCTGCATGGTCCCCTAAGACTGATGTCTTTGATTCAAGGAAGACAAATGGTGTATGATGTGCACTGACCACATTCCTTACATTTGGGTTGGAACATTCCAGAGCTGCTTCTCCCCTGTGGTGGGAGGACAGGAAAAAGCAGCACCACGACTGAGATAAAGAGCCTGTGGGGCAGCTGCTGGAGCAGTGGGAAAGGGGAGACCCCACTTCTGGGTCTCGCTGCATGTTTAATTCCCAATCTGCTGGTGGCACCGATACTCTGCAGGGCAGTGGTTTCTGGAGCTCCCAGGGAGGCCACCACTCCACAGCAGGGCGGTGGATGGCAGAGGACCCCGGGCCACAGATTTGCATGAAAAGGGGCAGTTTCTTTGGAAGCCATTTGAGAGTAGAGATGATTCCAGGGAACGTTCTCAAACAGCTCAAGTTGCCCTTAGTACCTTTGTCTTCGTCTCTCTGTCTCTTTCTTTTCACGTCACCTATCCCATGGTGACCAGGGCCACTAGCCCTGCCCTGCCCTGGTCCTCTACTCCTTGCCCATCGTTACTGTCACATGTCACCCCAAACTTCAATTAAGAAGTCAGTAGGCTTTGCACGTTAGTTTTTCTGGGGTGCATGCCTTTTGACAGCAGATTCTTGGAGATGGCACCGACTTCCTGCACAAGCCCGCATCCCAGGCACCGTGGCGGGTGTGTCCTGTGCTGGGCACGTGCGTGCGTATGTGTGGGGCATCGCAGGCCCCTGGCAGGTGTGCACAGTGACCAACCACGAGATGTGTTTGGGGTGGGGGTAGAGGGAGGACCTGTCCCATCAAACTTTCCATGAGACAAGCTGTACTTCATTCCGTGTCCTTGAGAGAAGTCGCCAGGATCTTGGAGGCCACCAGCCCCCCATATTGGCTTCTGCAGCCACTAGATCATGTGGTAGCATCCCTGACCTGATCCCTGAGAAGGCTCTACCCCGTAAGTGGTGTTCTTGGTCCTTGAGCAGATAAACCCACGTGTGAGGGGACCGGATGGAGTAAGGGGCCAGTTTTGCCCACAGCCAGTGGGTATGGCCGGCTTCCTGGTGCGCAGGCTCTGGCCTCTCCTGGCTCATGACCCACGGGAGTTCCCAGCCCCACAGGTAACAGTGAACACAACAACCAGGCCCTGTTTCCGTCCCCAGCTGAGGCCTGCGGGGTGGCAGGTTGTGGGGAAGGAAGACCAGGCATTGATCCCACCGTGGGCCTGAAGCCCCCTCCCCCTATGTATACCAGCGCAGCAGTGGGGCAGGGGCAGGTGCAGTGCATCCCCGTGCCCTCCCTGTGCCTGTGCCAGGCATGGCCTCGAGCCGCCTCCCCGCTGTGCAGAACTGGGAGCAGCGGGGCAGGTGCAGCGTGTCCCTGTGCCAGGCACGGCCTTGAGCCCCCTCCCCGCTGTGCAGAGCTGGGAGCAGCGGGGCAGGTGCAGCGTGTCCCTGTGCCAGGCACGGCCTTGAGCCCCCTCCCCGCTGTGCAGAACTGGGAGCAGCGGGGCAGGTGCAGCGTGTCCCTGTGCCAGGCATAGCCTCGAGCCCCCTCCCCACTGTGCAGAACCGGGAGCAGCGGGGCAGGTGCAGCGTGTCCCTGTGCCAGGCATAGCCTCGAGCTGCCTCCCCACTGTGCAGAACCAGGAGCAGTGGGACAGGTGCAGCGCATCCCCGTGTCCCTGTGCCAGGCACGGCCTTGAGCCCCCTCCCCACTGTGCAGAGCTGGGAGCAGCGGGGCAGGTGCAGCGCGTCCCCGTGCCCTCCCCGCGCCCGTGCCAGGCGCCTACCTGAATTGGACCGCTTCTTGGGGGCTTTGAGGCTGCGACCCCGGCCGCCGACCGAGCTGCTGTTATCGCTCGTGGAGTCCTGGGTGGAGGACGCGCTGCCGGTGGCTTCGCTGTCGCGAATCATGCTCTCGTAGCCGCTGCTGCCCCCGCTGTGGTAGAAAAGCGCTGTCTTGCCCATGGCCGGGGGCAGCTCCCCGCTCAGCACGCTGCTGTTGTCGCTGGCGTGCCCACTGCTGCAGCGGTGCGGCTTCCGCGGCGGCGTCACCTTGCTGTAGGGCGACGGCGGTGGCCCTCCCCGGCCACCCGCGCTCCCCTGCAGAAGCTCCGAGATGCGCCCGTTCACGGCTCGCAGGGGCAGCTTGGAAGCCAGGCCCGAACCTCGGCTCCTGCTGAGCGACTGCGTCGACCAGGTCATGTGCTTCCCGCTCGGGGGCAGGTGGCAGCTCTGGCCCACCGACTGCGGCAGGGACTTGGTGGAGAAGCTGAGGGTCTTGGTGGTGGCGGCCGACAGGCTGCGCGCCTTGGGACTGGCCAGGAGGAGCTTGCTCACTGCCGAGATCTTGGACTGGGTGGCCTTGGGCGAGGCCCCCGCGGACGCCGTGGGGCCACCGTGGGGGGGCGGGGCCCCTGCGCTGCGACCCGGGCTCCTCCCGGCACGGGGCATGGTGCTGTCCTTGCCGGCGTGTAGCCGGGAGCTCACGCAGGACAGGCTCTCTGCCCTCTCCAGCGACAGGCATTCGTAGTGGCTGACGGTGGCCCTGCCCAGGGAGTTGGTCCTGCTGGCCAGCTGCTCCAGCTTGGCGCTGAAGAGCTTGCTGCTGCTGCCGGTGTCCTTCACCCTGCCACCAGGCTCATCTGGGAAGGTGGCCGAGAAAGGGGCTGGTGGGTTCAAGGAGCTGCTGGTGCTGCCTCCGTGCTGGGGGCTGGCGCGGTTCTTCTGGTCCAAGCTGGACTTCCGGACAGGGGGCAGAGGGGGAGTCCCTTTGGGCCGAGCCAGGACACAGTGCTTGGGGGAAGCCACTTTCCTCTCCAGGGTCGCCTTGGAGGGCTGGGTGCCCGTGGCTGTGCCAACCCCGTTGGTCTCTGCAGCGCAGTGGTAGAAGAGGCCGTCTAGCTCCTCCTGCCTGCTGGCTTTCTGGAAGGCCCGAGGGAGGCTGCTTGACTTCAGGCTTCTGTGGGTGTGCACGGGGCTCTGGGTCGCCAAGCTGGGCAGGGCCATCTCACACCCATCCACAACCCGCCTGAAGGTGTCACTCACGGGGGAGGCAGACACCTCCCCGCTGCTGCTGCTGAGCCTGTCACCCGGGCTGGTTTTCCTGTCTTGCTCCAGCTCCGGTCTGGCCTCAGGCTTGGTGGGACCTGTCGCCGTCTCATACCTAATCCCTTCGTCATTGGGATAAGCGTTCTCTTTTTTGACCTCCTCTTCTCGTTTTAGCCAGGGGTCCTCAAACTTCATCTCTTTCTTGGCACCCGTCTCCTTACTGTCCTGGGACTGGGCTGCCTTGGGGGCCGCTCTGGGGGTGACAGCGGACGCCTCTGGCTCTTGGACATTCTGGGGGCTCATGGCGATGCAGGGGTAAACCGTGATGTTGGTCTTCATGGGGATATACCCTTCGCAGCCGCTCAGATTTGCTGTGTTGGAGATGGTGACCATGGCCTTGCCCAGCGTGGATATTTTGCAGCCTTTGATGGGGGTGGCTTTGTTGAAAGAGTCGTCCCCAACTTCAGACAAGATGAACAGGTTGTCGGGGCCCGCTGTGGGCTTCTCTCTGCAAACCACAGCGGTGTTCGGGATGCCACCGACACACTCCGAGGCCGGAGGGTCCGCCATCGCCTCCCCGTGCCCGAAGCACGTCTGGGCGATGAAACTGTGGCACGACTGTTCCCCGTCGCTGCTCGTGCTCATCTCGCTCAGCCAGGAGCTGATGGAAGAGCGTCTGCTGCCCGCCTCCCGGGCCTGCTCGTCCAGGCTCAGCTTGGGCAGGGGCAGGAACTGCGTGATGCTGACCTCGGACACCGGGGCCACGCTGGAGTAGCCCTCCAGGTCCTCGCTGACGCTGCTGATAATGCTCACGGGCCGGGAGCCCGAGGCCAAGGCCTGCACGGAGCAGTCGCTGTTGAAACTGATGATGCTGGTGGGGCGGCCGCTGCCCAGGACGCCGCTGATGGTCAGTTCCTCCACCAGCGTGAACACCAGCTCGTCCTCGCCGTTCAGCTCCAGCGGCTGCTGCACGGTCACCATCGTGGTGCTCAGGATCTCTTTCTTGCCATCGGGAGGAACGGCTGCCTGATGCTCCTCCTCGACGGCTGTTTCTGGGAACCCCTCACTTCCAGCAGACATGGATTTCTTCAAAACCTGGGGGCTCATGCCAACCGGGGGGGTACGCACCTCGGCCTGCAGCAAGGACTCGCTAGATACCAGGCCCGAATCCTTGCTCAAAGGAGGCAGAGGGGCAGGAGACGGCAGGACTCCCTTCTGGGTGTAGACTTTGCATCTCTGGGAAGGAGAGCTGGGTGGTTTGTACTCGGAGGTCTTGGACAGGCTGGCGATGCCCAGCCGCGGGGAGCCCATGGGCCGGGGTTTGCCTTCCACAAAGCTGCAGGAGTTCAGGCTCTCCCTGCTGCTTTGCAGGCTCGGGCTCTGCATGAGCTGGGACGTGCTGGGCTGGCTGCTGCTACCCTGGATGCTCCTGGGCGAGGCAGGGGTGGGGCTGCTGTCAAGCTCCATGGCTGGCATGGGTGAGTGGCTCCTCTGCGTCTTGGAGGCCGGGGGGTCCGTGCCTTCTCGGTCACTCAGCTGGCCATCTGACCCATTCTCTTCTTTATCAGACTCAGAGAGCGGGTCCACCCCAGCCACCAGGCTCAATGAGGGGCATGGGCTCACCGGCTGTGCCCCAAACTGGACAGGCAGCTCTTCAAAAGGAAACTTACTGGGCTCTTCACTGCCGTCGATGCAATCCAGTCTCTCTTGCAACTCGGCAAACGTGTTGCACTTCAAGCAGTCCCTTTCAGAGGCGCTGGCTGCAGCCTCCCCTGCCTCTGCAGGCCGGCTGTCACCCCTGGTCTTCTGCAGGGCTGGCACAATCGGGACGAAGTCGGGGGGGCCCTCGTTGTCGGTGAGCTCCTTGTCAGAGAGGGCCGTGCCATTAGGCCCGATGTAGATGACGGTGTCACAGGACTGCTCGCTGCTGGAGGAGTAGTCGGGATCGCTGGACAGGTGCGCGATGGGGAAGTCAGGGTCCACCGGGGCCCTGGCGTGGAAGGGTCTCAGCTGAGTGGGCCTGCGCATCCTGCCTTCCTCACAGGAGCTTTCTCCCCCAGATGAGCTGGACGTGTACTGTGAATGACAGAACAGTTACATGCTGGCTCCCCCAAGACAGCCCTCCTGGGAGCCCAGAGCCCAGCACTGTGCGGCATGTGGCGGACGCCACTGACCCTACACGATGACCGCCCTGCCTGGCCTTCCTGCACACAGGCCTTGCCGTGCACCCCAGCGTTCCCCATCATGACTGCGTATGGAAAGGACAATCCCTGTATAGACACTGGGAGGTGACCAGTCCAGGTCCTGCCTGACCTCCTAAGGGTTGAGGGGTCACTGGCTTGGCACCTTGTGCCAGGAACACTTGTGGGGAAGCCCTATTTTTTTTTAAAAAAGGTATAAAAAGGCGAAGAAAAAAGGACCACCCATCACCAGCTGACCCTGCATCTGAGTGACCACAATCATGATGGTTTTTGCAAACATGCTTGTCGTAAGATCCCTGCCTTGGCTTTGCCTCTGCCTGAGAAAACGAGCCTAGTGATTTCCGGCAGACTCTTTGGAGTCAACCCATCGAATGACACAGTCTTCATCTACATAGGACAGAAGCAGGCAAGAGAAGGACCAGGAATGTCTCATCTCCAAGTAGCAATGCAGAGTGGACCAAGAACTCCCTGTCAGGGGTCCGGGCTGGATGACCGGGGACAGCCCCAGCTGTGACCTTGTTCTGTTTCAGCCTGAAGGTTTCCCTGCATCCACACGTCCCCGATGTGATGCTTTCTGACTCAGTTCCAGGGCAGGGCTCCAAACGTTCCTTTTTCCTCCGGTGCACCCCCTGTGAGCTCCTTACCTTAGTTTTCTTTTTCTTCATCCTCAGGACTCTCGAGGCGATCTGGATGGTGGACAGGGTTTCCACGTAGTTCCCGGGCGCGGCCGAGATGTGAGCGATCATGGTGGTGCGACAGTTCATGTTCCCCAGGGACTCCCGCAGCAGCATGGTGAGCTTGCTTTCTCTGCCAAACAAAATGAATTAAGTCTGCATTAGTGGGCCCTGCTCCACGTTGGCTGTCAGGGTGGGACCTCAGGTCTCTACATGGCGATTTCATTTTGGACAGGGACTTCCCCCCCCCTTTTTTCCTAATGGCATATGAATTAGCATCATTTTCCAGCATGGGGCTATTTGTAGTTGGCAGCTGAGCAAGCCTCTAACTCCAAGAACGGAATGCATGCAAAGCACCTCCCTCCACACTCATGTCCTGGCTGTCATGGGTGTTCCTCTGTGTCTGTGTGCGTGCATGTGACGTCGCACATAATAAGCCCTGGGAATCGAAATGAGAGAAAGAAATCAAGAGAAAATGGTTTTGTGACCAGCGATTTGGCATGCTGTCTGCACCCACGGCCTTTCTCCATGAGTTTCTGCACATAGACAATCCCCGCAACGAAAAGTAGTCCCCCCACCATGAACTTGTAATGAAGACCTGTGTGTTTATAATACACACAGTTTCTTTTTCCAAGGAGTTACAACCACTTTATTGTCACTGTCCCTTGTCTCATATTTGCACCTAGTAGCAATGACAGGACATACATATTCTTGGTAAGTGGAGAAACACAGAGAGAGACCCAAGCACTTGCTGGATCAGCTGCAGAAAGAACTTTCTAGAAAGGCCTCCTCTGGGGACTTTGCAGGTGCTGTGTGGGGCCCATGCCCTGAGTAGTGTTTCCAAGCTGTCTGAGACCTGACCTGCAGGAAGGGTTCATGTTTTCCCATTTCTGTGCTCGTCCTGACTTTTTCCTGCCTTGCTTTTGAAAGGCCTCTGCATACTCCATGAACAGCACGCATCCTCCCAAGGGCTGCCAAGTGTCATTTCACCTCTGGAGCCTCCCTGATCTCAAGGCAGAGGTAGCCTCTTTGTTTTTCTTGTCCCGTGTTCACATCTCTACATTGTGTTTGTAATGCTAGAGGAGAGGAGTTTGTCCTCACGTCCATGTCCCATGAGGCTATGAGTCAGCTGTGCCCCGTAGATCCCCTGGGGAGGGACCATCCAGCTCCTCGGGCTCCATGGGGGACGCAGGCCACTGTCAGCAGACATTAGACCATTTCACACGTGACCTGCATCCAGCTTTGGGGAGGAAAGAGTATCGTGTCAAAGCAAAAGTTTTTCTTTTTTTTTTTCTTTTTCCTTTTTGTCTTTTTTACTGACCGGCAATGGGATCGCAACCCTCAGTGTTGTGCCTGCACCGCGCTCAGCCAGTGAGCAGGAACCGGTCTCCATATGGGATCCGAACCCTCAGCAGAAGCGCCGCCACGCTCCCAAGTGGCGCACTCTCCAGTGTGCCACTGGGCCGGCCCAAAAGTTTTTCTTTTTCATCTGGGACCAATTAAGGTGTCAGTCAGTTTAAGGACGCTGGGCTCACTATGGCCTGGTTCCAGGGCAATTTAAAAATATACCAGGGCTTCCCTCAAGCAAAAGAATCAGTGATAAAAGTGGTGGGAGGAGGGGGAAGTGGGTGCGGAGAAAGAGCAGGGCTTGGCTGTAAATATTTAACTCCTTCTAAATGTGTCCAGCAGGAATGTCACGGACACCACCACTTGATGGGGAAGCCAAGTCCCCTGCCTGGCAGGCATTCTTAGTGGAGACGCTGTTCCATCTCAGATATAGGAAGTGGAAGGCGGGTTCCATTTGGGACAGGTTGTGCTCACGTCCTGCTGTACGTGGTAGTCGTGCTCTGTCAGACACCCAGGAGCACCGAATTAGTGAACGTGAGCCTTTGATCCCAGGTTCCCATGAACCTCTGGTCACCACAGTTTTGTCAACTCATCAACAGAGTACCTTGGTTTATGAATGTTCCTGTTGAAAGATACCTTATTTAATATCTATTGCTTACAAATAATGACACATATGCAGTTTTTCTTTATAATAAAACATTAGCCAAGAAGGATTTAACACTTTCCTGCCCCTGGGTAACATGATGGTAAATTTCTTGGGCTTCCACTACTTTTTTTTTTTTAATGGCTCATGATCTTATGAATCCACAAATCCAGCCACTTTTTCATCCATTCCACAGCTTCCTCCTGTACCATAGATGTAATCTTAGAACTTTAGTTAAGCCTCACATACAGATCGGTGAATTTCTTCCTTTTTTTCTGAACGTACCATACTGATCCATTAACATTGAGCTCAGGGCTGGCAGCACCATAACTTCTGCCTGAGAACGAGGCTTATCTAACACACATTTTCTCTGTAAGGTGTTTCTTGTGCTTAGGAACACTAGCCAGCACGTCAGCACTATGCTCAGGGGTTCTTTTAAAAAAACAGCAAAGTCACCCTCAAAAAGCACAGCAATGTGAAAAACAGGTAGGCGAGTTAGCAAATATGGAATCTGTAAACGCTGAGGGTTGACTATACGACAAAGTGTTTCATGATTCTTGTCACTCAGATGCTCCACCAAAGGCATATCCGATTATGTCTCCATGGGACCCTCTGTAAGACCGCAGGAAATGGTCCCAAAGATGGAATAAAAAGATACATCATCATTACATCAAACTGTCTTGCCCTGCGTATTTCCACATGATTCCCCATTCGTGACCCGATCATATGGACAAATGTTTGGGTTTCTTTTTCTTTTTCAAGTCCACGTTGCTGGAAGAAGCCGCAGCCTGTGTGTTGCTTGGCAACCAGCATCTCAGCGCTCCCTGTCGGAGCAAAGCCAGTAAAATTGCAAGTGAGGCTCTTGCAGGGGCCACTGCAGACCCTAACGCGTATCCTTAGGGGAGTAAAATGTGCTTTGGCTTTTCAACTTCAGGATGACCCTTTCACTTGGAACAAAGATAAGTAAGTTAGGGAGGGCAGGTGCAGAAGGGTCCTAAAGGCTGCAAACTGCAGGCTAAACTCTCTCTTTTGGGGGGAATAAAAAGGTTTAAAAGAGTTTCTAGGGTGGTGGTCCACACACACTCAGTCTACATCTTTGTGCCAAGACTGAAGCAAGACAGGGGGACACAGAGCAGACCTGACTGGGGTCTTGAGAAGGACTGTGTCACTCTTTTAAGCAGCCATAATTTATGCACACATATTCCACCTCCTGCCTACCTTGACCACATACACTTTTCAAAATAATTTTGGGAAAAATGTCCTTATACAATAAGTCAACCTTTTCATTAGACATAACAAAGGACATGCCGCGCTCCCAAGTGGCGCACTGTAGCAGTGAGCCACCGGGCCAGCCCCCTAGGCATGCTTTTTTTTTTAAGAAAAGGGTGACAGTGGTTTTTGGCTTTTGTTTAAAAAAATCTTAAGCTATACACCATCAGTATTCCAGAATGGAAACTATACGCACAGAATTCTTACATGTGTCAGATAGGCAGTCAAAATAACTATGATTAAAATGCCAAGAAAACATTGGTATCAGATTCCGAAGACCAGAACCCTGGAACTGCACTGTGTGCCAGTAACTATGCACATCACTATAAACTGCCAGAACGTGCTGCAGAGCCCCCAGGTAGGAAGCTCGAGGTGATGGGGCAAGAGCTGCTGACAGGTGTCAAGTCAGAGGCATCACTATAAACTGCCAGAACGTGCTGCAGAGCCCCCAGGTAGGAAGCTCGAGGTGATGGGCAAGAGCTGACAGGTGTCAAGTCAGCGCCAAGAGTTCTGATCTCCCAGCCTTAGCCTCAAACCCCAGGATGCTGCATCCAGTGAGTGACCACCAGGAGAAAAGAGACTGAGCAGAGGAGGAGGAAAGTCGTAGGATGACATGACCGTGAAGCCATGTTGGCTTCTCCAATGGTCCTCCAACCCTCTAGCCTACTGACCCTGCCTCCTTCCTATTACATCCTATAGGTCTGTCAACATCCTTTTCTATTGTCTCCTGGAAGGTCATCAGTGACCCTCTGAGGTCAGCCCATGATGGTAGGGACCAGGGTCCCAAGATGCCACCATCCATGGTCCAATGCTCCTGGCCAAGGAAGGCAGTGTCTGTGAGGTTCTTCACCCCTCATGAAAAGACTTTTCCCAAAGGACAGAGTCACCAGCCCACTAAGTGAGGACACTTCAACCTGTATCTGTCTTCTAGGTCCCAAGAAAGTATCTTTATTTGTGACAACGCTCAGTTGTGACAACTGAAACATACATCCATGGGGGGAAAATCACTTCCCTTGAGCTTATTTTTAAGGGACCTGATGATTCCCATGTTCATGATTGCATCATGGACATTCAGATCTTTGGGGGAAGACCTGACATTATACTCCGGGGAAGGCTTTGGCTCTGCACAAGCTGCCTTGTCTCAGCAGTGTTTCCCTCAAGGATACCAATATTTGAGGACATGAATAATCTGGATTCTGGAACTAAGAAAGTTCTAGAAGGTTGGTACAGGCCGAGCTATCCTAATGGCATTTTCAAAGGGGAGGTACATGAGTTTAAAGCTCTTGCTACTCAGTTTGAGACATTATTCCGTCTGTACTGCAAAGGGCATAAGCAGGTCTCTTCTGTGGGTGCTGGAAGGAGACTGTATACCCCCAGCAACTTGCACAGAGAAACACAGCTCTCAGATCTTCCAATGAGGGTGACTCTGCTTGGATACTCATTGAGCCTCCCTAATTTGAAAATCTGAAAGTGGAAATCTGAAATGCTCCAAACTCTGAAACCTTTTGAGCGCTGACATAATGCTCAAAGGAAACGCTCATTGGTGCATTTTGGATTTCAGATTTTCTGACTAGGGATGCTCAACCAGCATGTATTCTGCAAATAGTCCAAAATCTGAAAAAATCTGAAAACTGAAACACTTCTAGTCCCAAACATTTTGGATAGGAATACTCAGCCTGTAATAAAACAGTAATGAAAACAGCTACCTGAGCCCAGTGGCATGTACAAGGGCACACACTGTCACCAGCAGTGTGGGAAACAAAGACCTGTCTTATTGGGGGAGGGCTTAGGAGAGGACCCTACAGAGAACCACCCACCCCGGCTGAAGGACTAGCCTTTGTGATCCAACCACTGTGCCTCCTGTTACGAG